AGAAATTCCTCCGTCCAAGGAATTTTACCATATGGACGGAGGAATTTGTCCATGCCTCCGTACTTGGATTGAAGCATGGAGAAATTCCTCCGTTAAGTATATGCTTCCACCCTTGCATTAAATGATTTGAAAATTGAATGTAGTTGATGACATATAGATAAGATTTGAAACCAAATGTAAGTTTATGTAAGCAAATAAATAGTAAAACTTCAAGGGCAAATGAAATTCCAATGCAAAAACAAGAGCAAACTTGAAGCTTTCAAATTCCTTCTTTGTTGCCTCCATCTTTGGAGGCAATGAGAAATCCCTGTATCCAAGCTTGGTTTTTCCATGCCTGCAAGCTTGGATGAAGTGAAATCACATTAAATGAGTTTCTTCCAATCCATTTGTTATATTTTGTTCTTCCAATTATAGATTTAGTCCATACTTTAGAAATTGTGGTGAGTATGTCCGATTTAATGAAAAACAAATCTGATGAGGAATATCTTCCTCCATAATTGGAGAAAGCCATTTCTTATTTTTTAAGGGTAAACAAATGTTTTGTAGCCACTTATTTAATTGGTGTTTGTTATATAGAGATTAGGCTTCCAAATACCTACTATGCACAATTTGTGTTATGTTTATTGTTAAAAAAAAAATATTATATTACAGTAAAATTGATGGCGTGAAATCATGAAATTCATAATTAACATTGAAGTAGTCTCTTTCAATTTACTCCGCCATTGTTTATTCTTTGAATTAGAAATTCAGTTTATGCCTTAGAAATTGTGGTAAACATATCACATTTAATGAAATATATATAGTGAAATACTTATTTTTATATATTTTTCTCCTTTTGCCTTCCTTCTGTATTCAGTTATTTTCTTCATGAATCGTATGGAGAGTAGTAATGCAAAAAAGCGCCCAGAGAGATTTCTGGTGCAGTAGAAGAATTTCCAAGTTCTCGCAGGCATTTATGCGCACAAGCCCGTCATACACGACGACAATGCCTAAATGCTCGAAGACGATCATTTGTAGCTAGACATAATCA